CGGTTAATTTTGTGATCTTTTGCGCAGATCCAGAACGCTATCAAAGTTTTGCGCGCGGAGGACGTGGGCCCCCGCATCAAAATCCTAACTGAGACTTCAAACTCTACGTCTCTGTGGCATTGCCGATGGTCTCCGATGGGAATTTTAGGTCTTTAACACCAGCTAGGTGTTCCTTGATCCTACATATTGAAGGCCGCCCGGTCATGTATTCGTCCCCGCAGGCCTCGTAAGTGATCAAATAAATCACCCCTGACGCCATGCAGTTCCCCTCACCCGTTGGGACAGATGACACAATGGGGGTTATGCAGAGACGGTCAAATAAACGATTTACCAGCTTTTTCCTGAGATTAATAGGAGGAACCTCGACCACCCGCACCATGTCATCAAGGCCACACTTGCGCAGAGCCGTTCTTACGTCAGAACTGACGGAGTATGATACGAAGGGAAGGCAAAAAGTCACCTTCTCCGAACCTTCCCTGCTATGTTCATGGTCTTTACATTGTCTTGTAGTGAGAGCATATTGGCAATGACGTGTACAACCCTGAACCTTTCCATTTCAGCAGCTATTTCGTTTTGCCTTTGAAGCTCTTGGGGCCTAACATAAGAGTTTGCTGCCAAATTCCTCAACGGCAACATAAGGCTTACCAGTGGTTAACTGTCCCTGACGAACCCCAATATTGTGTAAAAGTAGGCGTTTTTCCAGTGTGGAATCCCTCTGCATAATTAATGATTTGGGAGCCGACTGTCGATGAATGATCCCGCAAGGTGTGGTCGAATCGACCACCAAAACCCCAGGTATCATGCCAATATCGCAAAAAAGCAACAATGGCAAGATGTTCCTAGACGGTAACCAAGGGTGGGTCGGAGGCTCGGAGTGCTTTCGATATACCTAGGAACNGTTGTGGCAAAAGAGGAAATCTGAATCCAGCGGAAAAACACTCCTATGACTCTGTTCCTGCTCGCCGCGGATTTAAAATTGACGGCGTCACGATGCAGCAGAATGCATTGAGTGTAATTAAAGAAACATCTGGAATGCAGAATTTAGTCACTATTGTTTATATTCGAGAAAATTAGTGGAATTTACCCTTTCAGGTGCACTCCTGGCATCTCTCCTAACACTGCCTCCATAGCCGGCTTCTCGGAATACAAGATAACCCTACAGTTTGGGTGGGTTAGAGCTCGGTGACCTCCAAGGGGAGCAATTTCACGTCCAAACCAAGAGTACAGCGTCCTATACGTCTCCTCGGCACCATCGGGTATAAAGGAGAACAGCAGAGATGTAGCGAAAGAGTTTTCGAATTCTCCAATGATGGTGTAGAACTGCGACGACGCTCCACCCTTACCACTGCGAGAATTTGCCATCACCCTGAATACGGCAGATTAAAAAAATTTCAAAGAAATGTCAACGTTCCACTCACGAAAACGAGATCTAAGAGTGAGCTGATTGAATACAGCCGTGCACTGGCTCCTACTTCCGAAGAGAAACATCTATCTGTCATCCAATAGTAGGAAATTCTCTCTGTCAGCAAGACAGGAACACGAAGAGGGATCCTCATAGAAGATCATTCAACGCGTAGGTTACTCGAGTGTCATATGAAGTACCCACAATCTGGCCAGGAGTTTGTGCATTAATATTTCTGAGCTCAATGTATCGCCCTTCCGAAGTTTTCTCGACCGGTTGTGGAGGGAAATGTGAATTGCTCCACCGTTGCTCTCCGCTCTTGAACCAAAAAGTCGTCTGAACACAGCGATTTCACTTTCAAAAAGGCCTGAATACCTACTTTCCCAATTGAATTGGGTGATCAAATAAAGCTTAGTCCCGGGCGTGGCAGCATAGGGCACAAAGGGAATCTTAGCGGTGCCTGTATTACAGAGTTTATTAACTACGGTACTCACCAAATCTCGGTTCATTCAGCCTTGCTAGCATCACATTCATTTCCGTCGTTGGTGGTCTATGGAGATCTGCGAACGTACGCCTGATCTCATTAAATTTTTCCGTACCATGCGTCTCGCAGTAGCACGAGGAGTACTACGTGGCTCACAGAAATGTGGGCGAGCAGGAAGGGTTGGATCGGTTATGAAAAGCCCATTCCTGACTTTATACGTAGCGCATGGTAAAGGGCAAGGTTCAGGGTTACGTGCCTTCAGACCTCGATATTCGCAGCAGATGTAAACGTAACGTCGTGACCCGGTCTTATAAGCGATTCTTGTGGTGGAACTCGTAGCACAGCTCGTGGTCGTTCGGTAGTATATAGGCGACAACGTTTCGACCACGTTGCTGTGATGGTTGGAAAATAGCAGGTACTGGAGCAAAAGTCATGTCGAATATGTAGCGCTACGATTAACATCGGAGGTAAGTCACTCACTACCATTACGAGTGATCTCCTACATACCACTGCAAGTGATCTACAAGTTTCTCTTTAGATCACGCTCAAGTGTAGCTTCATGAAGGATCTACTGGCGTACTCATGAAGACATGTATGTAGTCTATGGTATAGCACGTGGGACTCGTGGGAAAAGTTAAATGTCAAATGGAAACGTTTTCGACACTCTGTGCCCGTTTTGTTGTTGTTGACGTTGGCGGGTATTATATATTGCCACTCCCCTACCTTTTGTACTCCAGTAATGATTTTTATCAACTTCTTTATCACTTTGAGCTGAAATCGCGTATTTGCAAGCTTTCAAAAATAAACAAGAAACTCTTTCAGGTGGTAGGGCAATGAACTCAGGGCGCTGTTTTCACGAACCCGTTTACCTTGTAGAAAGCCTGATGTTATGGCTACTAACAGAGTTCTCCCTCGAATTAGTTCTTTTTACAGAATTTCTATTTCTTGGGAGATCAAGAATGTGGTCAAGAAAGAGGTTCAGCACATCCTATAGACCTTACCTGAACAACCCCCCTCATTCTCCATAAACCATGGGTTGATGTGAGTGAAAGACTGGGTACAGTGAGTTAAGAAGAATCACGGTAGGTATAACTCCACCTACAGTTTGGAAAGTTGACCTTCATCCTGGGCTGCCGGTAAAGACAGGTGTTCACTTTGTCCACGTAAGCTGTAATGAGCAATCTTCTAATTGAAGTCTTCTATATTTTCCTCATTTTTTTCTGACCAGTTTTCATGATTAAGTTGTGGAATAAGTATGTAAACACGCAGTACATAAATTAATATAAGTACCATGTGTGAGCTACCCTTACAGGTTTTGCTGAAGCAGGAAACAAGAAAATTCTAAAAACATTTGCTCACGCTACATTAGCTGACTGAACCAAAAAGCGGCCGTAAGTAGAGTATCTGAATAAGAATAAGCAATTTATTACTAGATGGAATGCGAAATAATTTCCAAAATAAAGTTGAGTGAAAATGTAGTTGGGGGGTGCCAGAGCCCTGTGCTCTGCGTCTCTGACACCAGTCGGCACAGTGCCACGCTCGAGTGCAGAGATGGTTTCCTCCCTTTCTCAAAATGAGTGAAGGAGCTCCAGGGTGAGAGAGATGATTATCTCGTGCAAAATCTTGGTATGCGGTAAAAATCGAGCATCCAATTGGTTCACCCACCCCGGAGCTCCTTCCCTATCTTTAAGGATAGGAGCTCCGAGATGGGCGAGATGATTAGATGGGGTAAGAATTGAAGAGACGCAAAGCACAAAAGGGCCTGGCACCCCTCAACTTCATTTTCACCTAAAGTTGTAAACCAGGAACAGGAGCAAAAAATAAAAACAAAAAAAAACATTCAGGCACTTATCTAGTTTTTGGCGAATAATGGAATTGTTTCACGGAAACGTGGCGCTGCTCACTGCACTAAAAATTCCGTACTACATTTGCCGGAGGCAATTCAATAGGCGAACTTCGTGACGTCGTGCCCTTAGGATATCGTTCACACATCCGAGCTTATGCGGCAGAATGCACAGTTCCCCATGGTCCAGTTCCCAGTCGGAAAACTTGAGAAAAAAAACGTATCATTTGAAGAATAGGAGCATGCCAAATTCGTGCAAAACTAGAAAAATCACACCTATATCTGTCGAACTTTTTCAAGGATTCTCGTATCCTTTCGGAAAACCGGAGACGGAACCTTCCAAGGTTGCGCATCATGCGTTATGCCAGGCGTTTGGCTGCTGACTGATAAAGAAAAGAGAAGTCAGTGAAAGCACTCGGCTCTTACAGCAATCCTGGAATGGGTCCCGCATCGGACGAATGCTCGCAGAGCAATGCGAACCTCCCGGCTATCGCCACGTTTAGTCTCGAGGGAAGACAGAACTCAGGTGCGTCCAAGGATGCGCGCGGCACATTACGCGGCGAAGTACGTAACGATTTGAACGACTTTAGCGCCTACCTTTTGGCCCAAACTCGAAGTAGAATAGATTGGTAGGATCGGCTAACCTCACTAAAATACTGTACTTCAAGTTTGTTCGCCGATAATAGGCGCCAGAGTTGTTCGAATCGCCGCGAAGTTCGCTGCAGTTCGTGCTGAATTTTCGTTTCTGTGCTAATCGATAACGAACATGAACCCGAAAAGAGCAAGCGCTTTTTAACGGTTCCCCGATCAATATCTATCTACAGCTCACCTTCTTTGTAACCCCGCATACGCACCAAATTTCATTCGCAATTGGCGCGATCCACAGAGACTTCATTTAAGCGGACAGCGGTTTGGTATAACCACATCGTTTATTTGGAATCATTCTTTATTTTATCCAACGATTCTCCCAGTGCGGGAATCGGTCGTCGTATTTTCAGATTTTGTTATTTCAGGGTCAAGTGTGGTGTAAAACACTACAAGAGGTAATTTTTTTAAATCGACATGCTGCCGTCAGTTTGTCTTCGATTCACTCTCTCCTACTGTTGTCCCTACCGTCCGCACTGATTCGCTGGTCATAGTAGGACCTCCTGCTCTTTGTCATTCATTTTTTGATGCTTTGCAGTGGTTCACCAGTGTGAAGTCCACGTCAATCTGTTGCTTCACCGCTCCTTAAGGAGAAAATGATCCTACACTGACGATATTTCCTCGCTATGGCTGACTTTGTCCACTGCAATTCCTGCTACAAGCAGCCATCTGCCCAAGGCGACAACACATATTTCCTGACAAGCTGTTACCACATACTCTGTCAGGGCTGTCTTCAAAAAAGGGCAGGTGCTGATTTTACTCCTGGCGGTTAGCTTCTTAGTTCCCATGTTTATATTGCGAGCGCAATTATGATGATTACAGGTGAACCTATTTCATGTACCGTATGCAAACGTGAAGTGAAGGCCGTCGAAATCAACTCAGCAATGAACCGAAAACTGCAAGAATATTTCAAGGTATACTACTTAATTCTCTTGAGATATTCTAGTGACAGATTTATTGTTATATTTAATTTGATTGCCATCATTTTTAGGCACCAAAAAAGCTAATAGCGGAAAAATTGGCGTTATTGAAGAGGAAATATGATTTCCAGCAAACACTTGTGAATAGTCTATTGAGTCACATAAAGAAGCAGGTATAGTCATGCTTTGATACTTCCATTTCATACAGTGACTCTATTTTATTAAGCGCACCAGATTTGAACAGCTAACGCAATATTGCCAGAAACAAGTAAAACTCACAAAGGATAAGGAAAAGTGAGGTGAAAAAGTAAGAACTCGGTTTCAAACTCAATAACTTACCCGTTTCTAGAGAGTTGGCTGATTTGAGGGAATGGATCAACGTTGCAGAAGTAAAAATGAAGGAAAACGAGCAGGAGAAAGCATGCTTGCAAAAGGAAATCGACGACTTGAAGAAAATGTCAGCCAGGTTACGTTGATAAGCTCTGAATCAATCATGAAAATCCTAGAAATTTGAGATCATGGTCAAGCTGCAGACATTAAGCTGCGAGAACTCAGACGAATCCAAAAGATTCGTCACTCAAACACTGTAGATTTTCACTTCGTTGAGCAAGCCTACAGAAGAAATCGCAAATTTCCCGTTAGGAAAAGGGCCGTTATTTGTGCTTTCATGAGAAGTTGATTGAAGTTCATCGGGATAGCTTCTGAAACTTTTTTCGTCAGGCTCGTTGTTCCCTTATTTACTTGTAATGATATATACGGGTGCATTCTACATTCATTATCAACTCCTATGAGATCTTTTTGAAGCCGTAGTCTATCCTTGTTGTTTTGGGTGGGTCATCCTTGATCAAATTTAGTCGTGTAGCGCTCGCAGCAACTGAAACTGAATCCCCATTCATAAAAAGGAAAAAAAAACGTCTGAAGTAAGGGCGGCCTATTACCATGATCTCGCCTTCTTTCGATTTCGATTACAAATTAATTGACTACTATGGAGTGCAACCTTGTTGCCATCACGTCAGCTGCATTTGTCATCTGCAGCACAGGATTCCCTTCGCATGATTGAATAGTATGTGCTCGGCTTCAGGTTTGGAAGAACCGCTACTTATGGAACGGATATTGATAAAATGTTCAGTGACGTAAGGAGCATATCTACCGGTAAGTTCAGCTTATCTCAATCTTTTTCTTTTGAGCATGTATGTTCACATGTTTGCATTTCGTTTTCAATTGCTATATAAGGTTTAGATGAACTGACGACTACAGGAAATGCGTCGCTGAGTGGGAATTTCGGCGTCAATGATCACACCGAACAATCGGTCCCATCGTTTTTGCGAACAGTACATACTTATTTTATTTATCTATTCTTTCTTTATTCCCCTTGCCCTGTATTATAGAGAAAGAGGCAAGGGGAGCATAATTAAACTCCTTGCCTCTTTCACTATAATACAAATATATATATTATATATATATATAAAATACTATATTGCTGTGGGTTTTTTGAAACAGGAGAATGTTCCACCACCACTTTTGCTTTGTCCCCCCACTGAGAGTGAACTACTGGCTATTATTTCTTTCAGCTTATTCCACTCCCTCCGCTACTGTGGTAGAAATTCTAGTACGCGGTGGCAACACATAAGCGTTAACAATCAGCGAGTACTTCGTGGCAGCTCTGGGTAGTTGAAGTTGAAGGTTAAAGCTCTGCCTCGTCATCACTCAACTCTCGCCAGACGGGTCGCACCTACTGGTCATGATAGCTACTCTCTCCACTCCCAGCTAAATCAAGGCCTGTGCTCCTTGAAGCCATTGCCATTGTTTTAACTGCACTCAATTTTGTATTTTACGTGACCCTCCAAGAGTATATACTGAGTTTCCTTGCATGGAGAGGGTACATGTCAAAGTACTTTGTTGACACCACAACTGAAGAGTTTTTTGAACTTCAATACTGTGAACTGTTAAACGGTAATCTTCAAAGTAATCTTACCACCCATGAATGGGTTTTGTCGCAATGTCGTCAATAGCACTGCAAACGCATTAAACCCTGATCTGAAGCATTGCATGCCATATAAACGCTGAATTATGTTGTCTTCTTTTTCACGTAACTTGCTTAAACACTTCTTTAGCCTTCGGAAATGGACGTCAGTGGCTCCATGTGTTCCGTGGCGTTCCATCTCGCGAGTCCACAGTCATCCGTGAACAATAGCATTGTATCAGAAGTGAGTCTTGTCCATCCCTATCTCTCCGCACATTCAGTCTTTCTAAATTCTATTTTTATTCTTGAGCCGATTTTGCAGATGACAACACCAAAAATGCTTGGACTACCTAAGAAAGGACCTAGTAGCTCTGGTGGGAATCGGCACCCATCTCGCATGACTCCCACTGGGTGAATGTATCTACCTTGGTTTTTTTTTTCAAAGTCCCTTGAATATTACATCATATATGAAGTTGTATTTTAGACTAGACGCTCAAAATCCCTATGCAGAAGTGTTCAGTCGTTCATCGTCTCTTCAAAAGTACGTATTATCCAGTTACTACGCCTTATTAACAATTGTACTTTTCAATCTTGGAAGAGTAATTCCTCTATTCTTGCCACTTCCCTTTTAGGTACAGTAACCGTACCCCTACGATGAAGGCTAATGCATTCTCTGGTATACGTTCCTCATTAGCTGGCCTTTCCTCGAAATCGCCAACGACACCAGGTATACGGCTACGATCATTTCAGTCTAAATTCTTTCGTATCCTACTGCTATGAACGGTTTCTCTCGAGCCAGTTTTACATTCAGAATAATATCTATTCTGAGCTTTTTCATTGTCAGGATACGTTACAACGGATTCCATCATTCCTCGGGTGAATGCTCCATCATCCATGGCACGGAATAACTTTTGATCAGAGTAATATCACGATGTTGATTTATTTACTTAATAACTAAATGCTCAAAAGTGCAGTTGCATACTATCCTCTCAAATCTTAATTTTTTTTTCCTTTTAATTCTGTTTTTCCTTTGTGTCGTTGTTTTGTTGTCTTGATTCCAATTATTTTTGCATGTGTGAACCTTATCTAGTATTTGTTTGTGCGAATTGCATGTATATTTGTTCGGTACAGGAAATGATATTCCTATCTGAACGAAAACAATGTCTTTTACATTCTTACATCAACGTGGAACGACGAACATTTGACGCGCCCTAATCGCAACACATCCGAACTGCTGAAAATGGCTCATCGATTTGCATTTCGTGCTGTCCACCTTTTCCATCGTAGCACTTGCAGCTACGCCTATTGCTATTTTGAACATTTATATTTCTAGTATTTATCAAGTTTTCATAGTTGACGTATCAAAATGGCCAGTCCTCGCACAAGGAGAGTTTTGAAGGAACTGCGACCGCTCAACGAGAATAATGTAGGTTTAAAGTTACTCTGACTTGTAACATATAGACTTTCTGCCAGGTTTCAATCACTTCTTTGAAACTTTTTTGTTTTGTCTCTCACGGAACACGGTTATTTCTCGCAATTGTTGTAAACACTAACTCTGGGATATTTCAAGACCTGCTTCGAATGTGGTGCTAATAATCCTCAATGGGTATCCGTCTCTTATGGAATTTGGATTTGCCTCGACTGTTCTGGTCTTCACCGTGGTCTAGGTGTACATCTGAGGTGTGTTCTCCTTTGTATTATTGTTTTTTTNAAGCCTTTGAAGCTAATCAAAAACTTCAATTATGGCACAGTCACCATTTCGTACATCCTTGTGGGAGCAAAGTTCCAAGGTGGTGGTGTATTGGTGATCATTAATAATACCAAAAAAATATGAACTAGTTCGCAACAGAGCGCATAGACATGCATTGTATGGTATGGCAAGGTTGAAGGATTTATGCCTCCAAGAGTAATGTATGCGGGAATGCTGCAATTAACAGCTAAACCATTTATTTGGTCCAGTCATGTTCTATGCGTGCACTAAAAGACTCTTTATACGGTTGGGCTCAGTCTCGACATTCGCGGAAAAGGGCTCAAGGGGCTTTCAAAGTAGCCCTTTTTTGATAGCTTGCACGAGGACTTGAAGCTAATTGGACTCCATCCCGGCCGAGCATTCAATCGGAAAAAGTGACATCATAACCAGAGACGCGGACCCATATTCGAGAGAGAGAAGGCTGAAGTAAAAGGTCTAGAGAGATTGGTTTTGTCAAATTGACTGAGTGCCTGTGATAGCAATTATTATGTGACACAAATGAAAAAGTTGTAATATTGTAAGATCTCAATTCGCAAGAATAAAATAGATTAACACATTGGGAGATGTTTGTTGTAGTGCTCCATATTAACTAACCTTTATGCAAGGAGGCCTCGGAATTGTAATTGGTGCTTGTGAATAACCAAGGCGGCCACATTAGAATGTCAAAAAGCGGCGCAAGCAAGCTTTCGGCACCATTGGTGGACCTAGGGATGAATCCAACACTTTCACTAGCCGAGCCTTGAATAATGGTTCCATTTAAAACTTCTTCCTTCCGAAGTACGAACTACAGTAGGTAGGGCCAACAGCAATAAGACTTCTATCTGACCCTCGCCCTGCAAGAATGAGGAGCACGATTTTAGAGGGGAGCTCTTTCATCTAGGCCTAATCCTCAAGTTGTTAGGCCAATATTTGTAAATACAGGTGATATAGTGTTATAAAGTTGGAATGGTGTAAGAGTTGCAATGAATGCAATTGCCCACTCCTACTGTATGTGTATTGTTTCAATTCAGCTTCGTACGTTCTGTTACGATGGACAAGTGGAAAGACTTAGAGTTGGCCAAAATGCGAGTTGGCGGTAACCAGAAGTTCCGCCAATTTCTTATGAGTCAACCAGATTATCGCGAGGACTGGTCACTTCATGACAAGTACAATTCAAGAGCCGCAGCTTTATATAGAGATAAGGTTTGGAATTTTTTTTAAACTCATTCCCATATCCTTCACCTGTGCCATCCACCTTATCTCATCAATTTTTTGATCGAGCGCCAGTAAAGTCTCCACTCGTGGTTGTTGTGAGCCCTGTGGCAATACCCAGTAGACCATGCTAGCTCGAAAAAACAGCCGATCGTTGAATACCTCCCAAGCATCCGTGAATGAGATCATCGGGATAACAATCGTTTTTTTTGTCTGCTTGGTGATCGTTGAATTGAGGAGTTTTTCCGGGAAATTCCACATAGTCCAACAATCACCGCAAAATCGAACGGGGTGTCTGATCTGTTTGATCTTTGATTTCCTGTCATGTGCTCCACCATCATGATTGCTGTTCATTGAAGATCTTCGGACTCGCTTCCGCACCTTTACTGTCTAAGCATTGTTTTTCTTGCAACGCGCCGCAGTCCTGGCATCATGCTCCTTATGTCTGCGTAGAGAAAATAGGTCCTTAAAGGGTTAAGCAGGATCGGAAGCTATCGCTATATGAAGCTGAGTTTCCTTTATCTCCTCTAACTTCTCGATTTTCCTAATTTCTTATGCCCTCCTCTTCCTTGTGCTCAGCTCTGGGGCTACATGGTCCATCATAAAGAAGTCCCTACCTGGATAGCTAGAACAATGAGAAGTCTTTGTTCCGTGGAGCGTGAAAGGAGCCTCAGAAATTAGTCTGTCTTGGTGAACTTCGTTTCCCTTGGATTAATCTTTTTTCCTTCTTTTATATTCATAGAATAGTTTCAAAAACTTAGGTGTCAACTGAAGCAGAAGGGCGGGAATGGTCGGCAGCTACATCATCAGCACGGAATTATGTCCCTTCTACGCTTAACGCAGGAAATAGGTCAGGAGGTGACATGTCACGTCACGCCTCAGGAACAAGTCTAGGATCATATTACGGAGGAAATAGCGCTGCATATTCTGACGGAGGTGGATACAATGCGGGCGGCCCTGCTCAAAGGTTCGTACACTTTGAATCAAAAGAGACGTTCAGAAATGATTTGCGTTTTAATATTTACATAATCGATCGAGTAATGTGATGCGGTGTTCCTCTTCCTCCTTAAAAGTATAAGCGGTGTCACACAGTCAGTGCAGCAATGTTATTCTATTATATATCCGCGGTCTGGTCTAGCTAATTTGGTTTAGATTTCAAGCCTCCCAAATAGGAGGCTTGGTGAAAAATTGAGCCAAACGGCATCAAAATGAGCCTCAGCTACTCATTAAAATAATTATTAACTGATGTACTCCGTCCTTATTGATTCATGAGAATTCATCTGAACGATCCACTACTGGACCACAAAGTCGGGCCTCATTTCGTCGAAATTGGTTTCTCCGCAGGCGGGATTTCGGCTGTCCTCTCATGTTTACTTAATTAGGAATCCTCCTTCCAAGTTGTTCTTCATGGCACTACATTATACTTTACAAAAAGTTTCTTTTGCTCTATTCAATCATATTCTTCGCTTTTGTTCTCATTGTGATTGGTGCTAACATTAAGGGTTGTCTAGGCGACATTGCTCCAAAAGTTATTTACTCAGCTGACGATTACATTTACTATTACGGAAACAAAATCAATCAATGAAATGTGGGGATTACGCTCTCAGATTGGGGATCCTTTTCACTTAACTGACTGGTAATAAACAGACTTGCCTGAACTTTTTCTTTGAGAGATTGATTTTTCAAGGTTCAATAAAATTTCGAACTATTTTTTAAAATTTAACATGAATGGATATGAGGCAAGATTGTTCTCTGTAGTTATATCGGGAAATACTCTCAAAGCGATGACCTTCGAGAAACACTCATACGCACATAGAATGAATTTTCATTTTGCTTAGAAAGAAACAACAAAAATAGAGCCGAATACCTGCATCGCTTGACAAATTTTTAACAAGTTGCATAAACAGTCAGCAGAACGGAAAACTGTAGCGCGACTGCTTCCCCAGTTACACTGAATTTTCGAAGATGTTTGAATGACTATTGATTCAGTGATGATCGTTACCGAGGATTTGGCAACACAGTCGATACTCCTAATAATCAAGACGACCTGTTGAGTGGTGCTATGTCCTCTTTATCGATGGTACGTTCTCTTAGATAGCCTTTTTTATGAGTTTCTAGAGGATGCTTTCAGGGTTGGAGTATTATTTCAAAAGGAGCTTCACAAGCAGCGGCTCTAGCGAAGGATGTCAGCATCCAAGCTACTCAAAAAGCATCCGAGCTCTCAGTAAGATTATCTCACAAGTTTACAATTACACTCCTATATAGTTTGTTTTTCTATTTTTGTTATTTATTTTCTTTGCCTCCAAAAATGGTCAAGGTTATTGCTTTATTATTAAATTGATGCATAACTATTGCGGAATTTTTCGCGGCTTTTTTTCTCTCGATAGAATGTGAATATTGAGTTCGGGTTTTTTCTAGAAATGATCGACTTGATTTCCTTTACAGGAATATACTCAAAAAACCATCCGCATATTCGCGAAATTAGGCTTAACTACTTCGAGAAAGATTGGAAGGTGGCACAGTCATTCCGCG